AGTACTGAATATTTGATATATGGTATGGTATGGTATATGTTTCAGTTTGTAGTATTTAGGGCTGCGACCGTCTTTTTATTTTTAGTGATTTATTGTTGGTGCTTTCTTGTTTTACACTAAAACTTACAATGTAGAGGCAGATTTCTTGTCTTTATTAAGACAATGATCTTTGACGTGATACATTATTTGTTGCTTTTCAAAACAAATGAATTTAATGACCATTTTGTCCTAAGTAAATTGTTTCGGCATAAAAAGCTCCCTCAGTTTTTCCCATGCATTTATAATGCTAATGATATGCATCAAGAAAATGTGTTTCTACTAATATCTGGAGATATTGCAATATATATAAAAAAAGAATTTGTGTTAAAAAGTAGAAAAATGAAAGTCACTGCAGAGTAACAATGTAAGTTTACCTGAAATATAAGGTACTCTGAAATATGGCTGTCTTATAATTAGAAGCAGTATTAATACTGCTGCCATTGTTAATAAAACAACATAATCAATAATCTCACCATTAAAGAGTAATATACAGGAAAATAGAACCAGATATATTGGTGGCGCTTCATGATTTCGCAACTTATGGTGTATTAAGTTTCATGCACTTTCAGTTTAATTCTTCTAAATCACATGGAAATTGTGCAATTTTCAGTATCTAAAAATGCTTTTAAGCAGGCTCAGCAGAACACGGGATTCAGGATTTTCCGTTTTAATGGAGAGAAGAAGGGTGAAAAAAATGTTTGTCATTTAGTGTGTGGATACTTTAGAGAAAAACTTATTGTGCCCTCTTCTTGTTTAGTTTTTTAATTGTATAATCATTTATGTTATCATATAATCAATTAATTACAAAATTTTTTTCTTTATTAATGATTTGTTTAGCATTAATTTTCACGTCTCTTACAGAATAAAATGTGATATAGAATATTTTACTAATAATTGCTACACGTTAGTATCAAAGGTACTGGCTGTATCGTAAAGGATCTGAACCTCCCTTACTACATTATAAATATATATATATATATATATATTTTCTATTTGAATACTGTAAAAAAAAAAAGTTTCTCTTTACTCTTCTCTTTGTAGGTATATACTGGAAACTGTCCAGAATACCTATAGTAATTAAATTTCACGTATGTCAACTGTAAATGCTAAGTATCACTAAAAGTAAGTATGTCTAGATAATCAAATTACATCCTAAGTCCAGAAGAATTACTTACGTAATTGTGTAAAATTACTCTGTAAGATCTGGGCTTTGTTATGAAATGCTACTGCTATAATTTATGTTGGTTAATTAAGCTCAGTTCATGTGTTTTTCTTCATCTGTTACATCATTTTAATCCAATTTGTGTGCAACCATTATGATAAGACCACATGTAGTTTGAGGTTGCTGTGCTGTTAACGTAACCCAGTGCGAATAAAAATTCGCCCACAGCCTGAAGGCAAAACGGTCTGACAGGAAGTCTGTCTGTTGTGTGTCTTTACGAAGAACAATTTTAACGAAACTTCCCTCTAACCACATTACTCACAACCTGTTGTAGTTTGGCCTTTGTGTTGAACTTCCATCGTTCTTTATTGTTGTAGTGAGTCAGTTTAGTCGTTAAGACAACAACAACAGCTGCATAAATACATACATAAGACGGCATGACAACATGGCACAGCAATGTTCCTTTTTTATGATCACTAACCCACAAAAAGGCAACAAAGCCAATTAAAGCTATCACAGCATGAGTCATGTTCTTTTTTGCAATTTGGTGAAATCAAATAATGGTTTTGTTTACAAGAATATTTTGTTAATTAGATTAATGGAAGATATTTTTAGTACATTGCTGAGGTACAAACAAACAAGTCTTGCTCTCTTGTACTTCATTAAGTCGTCACCCACGTCCTCTTTCTTTGCAAAACCTTGTACTATAACATGATATTTACAGACTAATGTTTTAAATCTGCATCAGTGACGTGTGCATCCTCTGTATCTCCAAAGCATTAGACATAAATACTGATCTGAAATTAGTTATCTGCTGTTTTGAAGGAGAAAGTCTGCTGTGTCTGTGTTTTTCTCAGAACTTTGTCACACACACACACACACACACACACACACACACACACAC